CCACATTTTGCTTATCCATCCTTTTTTTTTTTTTTTTCTTTGAGATGGAGTTTGCTCTGTCGCCCGGCTGGGGAGTGCAGTGGCATGATCTCAGCTCACTGCAACCTCCGCCTCCTAGGTTCAAGTGATTCTTCTGCCTACATCCTCTGAGTAGCTGGAACTACAGGCGCCCGCCACCATGCCCAACTAATTTTTGTATTTTTAGTAGAGAAGGGGTTTCACCATGTTGGTCAGGCTGGTCTCAAACTCCTGACCTCAAGTGATCCACTTGCCTCAGCTTCCCAAAGTACTGGGATTACAGACTTGAGCTACTGCGCCTGGCCCCATTCTTCTTTTGATGGACATTTGTGTTGTCTGCACCTCTTGGCTAAAGTGAGTAATGGTGCTTGAACACTGTGGTAGGAGTATCTGTTTGCCTCCCTGCTGTAAATTATCTTGGGTATGTACCTAGAAGTGGATTTGCTAGGACATATGGTGACTATTATGTTCAACTTTTTGAGGAACTGCCAAATCATTTTCCATTATGGCTGTATCATGTTATATTCCTTCCAGTAATCTATGTGGGTTCCAATATCTCCACATCCTTGTCAACACTTACTTTTCTTTTTTTAAATTATAGCCATCCCAGTGGGTATTATATAATTTCTTAAAATTTATTTTTTGAGTTCAAATTTGTATCATCACAATTCCAAACAGAATAAAATATCTTTGCCGGGTGCAGTGGCTCACGTCTGTAATCCCAGGACTTCGGGAAGATGAGGCAGGAGGATCACTTGAGCCCAGGGGTTCAAGACCAGCCTGGGCAACCTGGTGAGACCCCATCTCTACAAAAAATACAAAAATTAGCCAGGCATGGTGGTGTGCGCCTTTAGTCCCAGCTGCTTGGGAGGCTCAGGCAGGAAGATCATTTGAGCCCAGGAGGTTGAGGCTTCAGTGAACTGTGATTGTGTCACAGCACTCCAGCCTGAGTGACAGAGCGAGACCCTGTCTCAATAAATAAAATAAAAGTAAAATATCTTTAAGCACAGGTATAATGTCCCCAGCCTGTATTTATATGCCTTAAACACACCAGAAAAGGACCCTATATTCAATTGCTCTGTAGAGAATGAAGATGAATTTTATCACACAAGACTCGACTTTCTTTCTGGTGCCTGTGGCTCCATTTGTGCCCCGTGTCAGGCTGTATCTTGTTGCTCGGTCTGATTCTAGTAGCATAGCAACTTATAATTTATTCTGGCAATTTGTAAATACTGATGTGAAATTTGGCCAGGATATGTGGACATCTCAGGGTGAACCCAGTCCAGCTGATTATGGGGGTCATGTGAAGACCAGAATTTTGCAATAATGTACTTCTCATTTCTAGTGAATTGCTGCATGAAAGATACTGTAGGCTGGAAAAGGGGAGAACAGAAAGGATGAGGCAAGGCTGCTGTTTCTCTGCTTCCATCTGGGGAAACGGAAGAGTCCAGGAGCAGCTGTTCCTGCCCTGTTTTCATCAGTCCTTGGAAATGCACTGATAGAATTGTTGCTTATGGCCAGGCATCGTGGCTCATGCCTATAATCCCAGCACTTTGGGAGGCCAAGGTGGGCGATCACCTGAGCTCAGGAGTTCGAGACCAGCCTGGCCAACATGGTGAAACCTCATCTCTACTAGAAATATAAAAAATTAGCAGAGCGTGGTGGCGGGCACCTGTAATCCCAGCTCCTTGGGAGGCTGAGGCAGGAGAATTGCTTGAACCCCGGAGGCGGAGATTGCAAAGCCAAGATTGAGCCACTGCACTCCAGCCAGGGTGACAGAGTAAGACACTGTCTCCAAAAAAAAAAAAAAAAAAAAAGAATTGTTGCTTTTGAATTAGTGTGAAAGTGATATTTTATTTTATTTTATTATTTATTTATTTTTGAGACAGAATTTCGCTCTTGTTGCCCAGGCTGGAGTGCAGTGGCATGATCTTGGCTCACTGCAACCTTTGCCTCCCGGGTTCAAGCGATTCTCCTGCCTCAGCCTCCCGAGTAGCTGGGATTACAGGCATGCACCACCACGCCTGGCTAATTTTGTATTTTTGGTAGAGATGGGGTTTCTCCGTGTTGGTCAGGCTGGTCTCGAACTCCCGACCTCAGGTGATCCGCACACCTTGGCCTCCCACAGTGCTGAGATTATAGGAGTGAGCCACCACGCCCGGCGTGAAAATGACATTTTAGGGAGTGGGGAAGAAGGGCCGGGAGGAAAAGAGATTAAACAAGGGTGGGATATCCGTGTCCCTCAGATGGTATCTTTGGCTCAATCCTACAGAAAAGCAGTGGAGACAGGGAGGGTCAAAGACTGGAGGCTAGGGAGCTGGGGTCTTGACAGCAGTCAGTGGCAGTTTGTTTCGGGCATGTAAATTCCAAGGCATTTGGAGCTCTCCCAGGCAGTCCCCCAAAGAAGAGATGCAAATGTTCACTTTGGAAAGGGAAAGAAGCCACAATCTAGAATGCATAAAAATGGGAAAGGGATCTGGGGAACATGGGTTGAGGAACATTGACAGAATCTGTTACAGAGAGAGATGGGCGTGGGTGGAATATTGGGTGAAAAAAAATCATCATTATACCTACAATCCCATTATCCTACACAGTGAGTCAGTTTCTAGACTGAGTGCCTTAAAGCCAGGATTTTTCATCATTACCTAACTCTTCAAGTTAGGTATTATTGGCTCTCTGCCCCCTCCTTATATTTAACCAAAAAATAATGTATTCCAGAAAGGGAAGGGAACATTTACAAAGTCGGGAGATGGGAGACCTACTACTAGAACTCAAGTATGTCTTGTTTCAAACTCTCCACTCCTTTTGCTGCTCCCTGATGATCAGCTCAGAAAGAGCCTTATTTCAGGAAGGGGGATAAATAGATAATTAGATATGATAGACAGATGATAGGTAAGTAGGTAGATAAATAGATAACTAGACATGATAGATAAGATAGATACTAGATGATAGGTAGGTAGGTAGCTAGATATGATAGACGGATTAGATAGAGAGACAGATGATAATTAAGTAGGTAGATAGATAATTAGATACAATAGATAGATAACTAGATATGATAGGTTAGATAGATAAATGGATAATAGGTAAGTAGGTAGATAGCTACAGATGATTAGCTAGCTAGCTAGATGATAGATAACTAGATATAGTAGATAAAATAGATAGATGTAGATCTATCATCTACAGATCCCTGTCGTTCTGGTGTCTCGGAGAATCATGTCTCCTTCAGAGAGCCCCACCCCTCCCCACTCTAAACGCCTTCCATGCCCATGTCACTGCTGTTCGTTACCTGGCATCAACGAGCTCATTGGAGTGTGTTTGAAGTTGGCTGGGCGTGGTGATCTGTACTCCCAGCTACCCCTGGAGGCCGAGTGAGGAGGACCGCTTGAGCCCAGGAATTCGAGTATGATTGCACCACTGCACTCCAGCCTGGGCAAGAGTGAGACTCTGTCTCTTTAAAAAAAAAAAGAAAAAGAAAAAGAAATGTGTTTGAAGAGCTGAGATCATGTCTGTATTAGCCAGGGTTTTCCAGAAAAAACAGAACCAATAGAACATATATATATAAACTGGGTGTGGTGGCTCACGCCTGTAATCCTAGCACTTTGGGAGGCCGACGTGGGTGGATTACCTGAGGTCAGGAGTTCAAGACCAGACTGGTCAACATGGCGAAACCCCGTCTCTACTAAAAATGCAAAAATCAGTCGGGCGTGGTGGTGGGCATCTGTAATCCCAGCTACTCAGGAGGCCGAGGCAGGAGAATTGCTTGAACCCAGGAGGCGGAGCTTGCAGCGAGCCAAGATTGCGCTATTGCACTCCAGCCTGGACAAGAGTGAAACTTTGTCTCAAAAAACAAACAAACAAAAAAACCCACATACACGTGTGTGTGTGTGTATATATAGATAGATAGATATATAGAGAGAGAGACAGAGAGAGAGAGAGATTTATTTTAATGGATTGGTTCATGTGATTGTCGGGGGCTGGTAAGTCTGAAACCTGCAGGGCAGGTAGGAGATCCAAGGGAGACATGATACTGTAGCTTGAGTCTGGAGGCCGAATTCCTTCCACCTTGGGGTACCTCAGTCTTTTCTCTAAGCCTTCAACTGATTGGATGAGGCCCACCCATATGACAGTGGGTCATCTGCTTTACTCAAAGTCTATTGGTTGAAATGTCCAGCTCCCAGGTGGGAGATCCAGGCTTGGAAGCCAGGTTGTCTGGCTCCTCTTAGCATTTCTGCTCACCCCTATCAGTGCATTTCAGACAGTGATTACACGGACAGACGTGGTGGCTCACACCTTTGTAATCCCAGCACTTTGGGAGGCCAAGGCGGGAGGATCACTTGAAGTCAGGAGTTTGAAACCAGCCTGGCCAATGTAGTGAAACCCCGTCTCCACTAAAAAATACAAAAATTAGCTGGGCATGATGGTGCACACCTGTAATCCCAGCTACTCAGGAGGCTGAGTGGGGAGAATTGGTTGAACCAGAGAGGTGGAGGTTGCAGTGAGCCAAGATCACACTCCAGCCTGGGTGACAGAGCGAGGCTCCGTCTCAAAAAAAAAAAAAAAAAAAAAATATTATATATATATATAATATATATATATATATATATATATTTTATACACACACACACACACACACACGTATATAAAACACTGGCTCACAATAAATGATCAATATCATTGCTATGCACCAAACAATCCCTGGGAATTTCCCATGCGCCAAGCAGTATTCCAGCCCTCTCTATAGGTACTGACCCACCAGCCAACAAAATAGGTACTGCTGCTGTCCTCACTTTACAGATGGGGAAATAGAAGCTTGGAGAAGATTAAGGAAATTTCCCAAAGCAATAGGAAGTTTCAGCTCCAAGGTGGGAGATCCAGGCTTGGAAGCCGGGCCGTCTGTCTGGCTCCTCTTAGCTTTTCTGCTCACCGCTGTCGGTGGATTTCAGGAGCCAGGCTGATTCCCTGACCTGCTCTTCCCCCTCCAGACACCAGAACCATCTTCGTCGCCATCTTCAGCTGCATCTCCATCCTTCTTCTCTTCCTCTCAGTCTTCATCATCTATAGATGCAGCCAGCACGGTGAGCTCAGAGAACGCAAAGGGAGGGAGGGGGAGTGAAGGATTTTCTCGGTAGGTAAATTCCTCCTGCATTTTTTGTAGGTTCGTCGCCTGAAGAATCCACCAAAAGGTAGATGCTTGGCATAGCTCATGCTCCCCTTAATTCCCATGTCATTCTCCAGGGAACCCATTGGCACATTTGGGATTGGTACCCTGAGCCCCAACCCCAGCCCATTCTGTGACCTCCCTCCACTCCCCTCCTCTCCCCTCCATTGCCCTCACCCTCTCCCCGAAATCTTCATATCCCATCCTTTCACGTGTCTCTCTCTCTCTCAGAATCAGCCATTCCAAACTTTCGGAGCAGGAGGCTGCTGGTAAGGGACAGGGAAAATGTAAGGGAATCACCGGATAGAAAGACTTAAGTTCTGACTCCTACAGCTGAAAACTGATTTTCTTTTTTTTCTCTCTCACTCAGAGGCAGATTTATCCAGGATGGAAAGGGTATCTGTCTCGGTGAGTCCTCCCGCTTAGGAATCCCACAAGAGCTCCCTCACCACAACGGGCTGGTCGTGTCTGCCTCCTGGTTAAGCCCATACAGAAACGTCTACTATTTATCACCTGTGTGGTCTTAGACAACTCCCCAAAGGGGAACCAAAATCTCTATTTAAAAGGCATATGCACGGGGCCGGGTGCGGTGGCTCACGCCTGTAATCCCAGCACTTTGGGAGGCCGAGGCAGGCAGATCACAAGGTCAGGAGATCGAGACCACCCTGGCTAACACAGTGAAACCTCATCTCTACTAAAGATACAAAAAATTAGCTGGGCGTGGTGGCGGGCGCCTGTAATCCTAGCTGCTTGGGATTCCGAGCCAGGAAAATGACTTGAACCCGGGAGGCGGAGGTTACAGTGAGCCGAGATCACGGCACTGCACTCCAGCCTGGGCAACAGAGCGAGATTCTGTCTCAAATAAATAAATAAAAATTAAAAAAAAAAGTCTTACGCCGATCCATTGATGTCGTCACACACATAAAGGGCTATAAAAACAGAAAAGAAAAAGAAATGCATGTGGTGTGACCGAGGACCTGGATTTTGAATTTAATTTAATTGTAATTAATTTAAATGTCAATAGCCACGTGTAGCTAGTGGCTGCCATATTGACCACTCAGTTCTAATATTCATCTATTTTCTCCAAAGACGGCAGACCCCCAAGGAGTGACGTATGCTGAGCTAAACATCAATGCCCTATCTGAGGCAGCTTCTGACACCACCCAGGAGCCCCCAGGATCTCATGAATATGCGGCAGTGAAAGTGTAGCAAGAAGACAGCCTGGGCCACTAAAGGAGGGGGGATCGTGCTGGCCAAGGTTATCAGAAACGTGGAGATGCGGATGACTCTGTGTCCTTTGCTCCTCATCCCTATCAATAAAATTAAGTTTCTCATCTTAAAAAGAAATCTGATTTATGGATTATTCATGCCCAAGAACCCCACCATACTCTTTCTACCCCGCATTTCCTCCTAGAACAATTCAAGGAAATAATAAATAATTATTGATCAGCTATCCAGCAAAGAATGTAAGAATTATGGAGCATCTCCTGGAAGCACAACAAGCGAAAAAGAAAATGGCCAGGCTCATGCCTGTCATCCCGGCACTTTGGGAGGCTGAGGCGGGTGGATCATCTGAGGTCAGAGTTCATGACCAGCCTGACCAACATGGTGAAATCCCATCTCTACTAAAAATACAAAATTAGTGGGACATGGTGGTGGGCGCCCGTAATCCCAGCTACTCGGGAGGCTGAGGCAAGAGAATCGTTTGAACCCAGGAGGCAGAGGTTGCAGTGAGCCGAGATGACACCATTGCACTCCAACCTGGGCAACAGAGTGAGATCCATCTCAAAAAACAAACACGCCCAGACCTGCAAACTCCTAGACCAGAGGACAGAAAACAAAAGGACCAGAGAGTAACATTTCCAGCTTTGTGGGCTGTAGGATCTCTGCTGAGACTACCCCATTCTGCTGTTGTACCATGAAAGCAGCCATCGTTGATATGTAAACAAGTAGATGTGGTGGTGTTTCAAAATAAAACTTTATTTACAACCTCATGTTCTTCATTCATGTGGGAGCTATAAAAGTGGCTCTGCTTATGAAGGTAAAGAGAGAGTTTCTTTTTTTTTTTTTTTTTTTTGAGACGGGATCCTGCTCTGCCGCCCAGGCTGGAGTGCAATGGCCCGGATCTCAGCTCACTGCAAGCTCCGCCTCCGGGTTCACGCCATTCTCCTGCCTCAGCCTCCAAGTAGCTGGGACTACAGGCGCCCGCCACCACGCCCGGCTAGTTTTTTGTATTTTTTAGTAGAGACGGGTTTCACCGTGTTAGCCAGGATGGTCTCGATCTCCTGACCTCATGATCCCGCCGTCTCGGCCTCCCAAAGTGGCTGGGATTACAGGCTTGAGCCACCGCGCCCGGCCAAGAGAGAGTTTTCACAGGCTAGAAGGAGTGGGTTAGTTAACGGGCACAAACACAGTTAAACAGAAGGAACAAGTTCAAGTGTTCAACAGCACAGGAGGGTTGACTATAGTTAACAAATACATTGTATGTTTCAAATAGCTAGAAGAGAAGATTTGAAACTTTCCCAACACAAATGATAAATGAGCGGTCGGGTGCAGTGGCTCACTCCTGTAATCCCAACACTTTGGGAGGCAAGACGGGGTGGATCACCTGAGGTCAGGAGTTTAAGACCAGCCTGGCCAACATGGTGAAACCCCGTCTCTACTAAAAATACAGAAATTAATTGGGTGTGGTGGTGCATGGCCTGTAATCCCAGCTACTTGGGGAGACTGAGGCAGGAGAAATCACTTGAACCCAGGGAGGTAGAGGTTGCAGTGAGCCAAAATCACAGCACTGCACTCCAACCTGGGGAACAGAGATCTGTCTCGAAAGGAAAAAAAAGAAAGATAATGTTTGAGGTAGCAGAATATCCTAAAATCCCTGATTTTGATATTATACATTCTGTGCATGTATCAAACTGTCACATGTTTGCATGTCACATAAATATGCATAAATATTATGTATCTATAGAAAGTTTTTTTTTTTTTTTTTTTTTAGATGGAGTCTTGCTCTGTCGCCCAGGCGCCAGAGTGCCAGTGGCGTGATCTCAGCTCGTGCAACCTCCCCGGCAGGGTTCAAATGATTTCCTGTCTCAGCCTTCCGAGTAGCTGGGGATTACAGGCGTCTGCCACCACGCCCAGATAATTTTTTGTATTTTTATAGTAGAGATGGGGTTTCACCATGTTGGCCAGGCTGGTCTCGAGCTCCTGACCTCAAGTGATCCACCCACCTCAGCCTCCCAAAGAGCTGGGATTACAGGCGTGAGCCACTGCGCCCAGCCCAGAAAGTTGTTTTAAAAACAAAACATTTTGTTTTCAAAAACAAGCTGTGGGCTGTAGTGTTCCAACCCTTGTGCGAGGCCAGTGCTTTTAAAAGTCTGCTTGGGCCATCACCCCAACCACTTCTGGCCCTGATGAGGGTCCAGGGCATGAGAGGGAGGAGGGAGCGTCTTAGTCCATCCAGGCTGCTATCAACGTACCAAAGACCAGGCAGCTTCCAGACAACACATAGTTATTTCTCACCGTTCTGAAGCCTTCAAGTCCAAGACCAAAGCGCTGGTAGATTCAGTCTGCTGAGGGCTTTTTCCTGGTTCATAGCTGGCACCTTCTTGCTGTGTCCTCACGTAGTGAAAGAGACTGGGCAGGGCGCAGTGGCTCACGCCTGTAATCTCAGCAATTTGGGAGGTCAAAGCGGGGAGGATCAACTGAGGTCAGGAGTTCCAGCCTGAATGACAGAGACTCCTGCTCAAAAATAAAATTAAAAAAAAGTGAAGGCTTAATAAACAAAAGAAAGAGAAAAGAGAATAGCTCTCTCTCTCGTACAGGTAGAGAGGGGCTCCCGAGTGGGACCCCTGGTTTCGTGGTGAAATGCATGGGGTTTAATAGACAAGCTTGAGCAGGTGGTGTCTGATTTACATAGGGCCTGAGAGATTAGCCGGACCAGGTGTGACGTTTGCATAACCCACGAAGAAGCTGGCTATCCCACCCTAATGTTTTATTACGTAGTTGGGGTCTCTGCCTGACTGGGGCCACGTTGCCTGTTTTTATACTGCACATGTGGGGACAAACAAAAGGGAAGAGGGAACCTCCATGTTGAATATACCCGGCCTCCAGCCATCCCTTTTCTATTGGCACAGCTGCCAGCATTTACCTATGCAAGCTTTTAGCTTGCTTGTCTAGGCCTGCACCTTGATGTTTCGGGCTGCTTTCTGTTAGAAAAGAAATGATTTGGGGACTGCTCTTTATTCACAGGAAACCTTACGGAGGACTCTCTTACCCTCACTGTCTGCCTAAAGCATTTCTTTTTAGCTCCCGTATTACAAATACCATCACCTAGGGGTTAAGTTCCAACAGCTGAATTTTGTCGGGACACAAATGTTGAATTTACAATACCCATGAAGCTGTCTCCGCTTGTATCTTGTCCTAACCAGAAGCTCCCAGGAATATTGCATAGGAAGGAACAACTTTGATAAGGCTTGTGTCTGCGTCCCCACCCAAATCTCATCTTCAATGGTAGCTCCCATAATTCCCATGTGTTGTGGGATGGACCTAGTGGGAGATAATTCAATCATGGGGGCGGATTCCTGTAGGGTCCAGCCCTACGGGGCTTTGCAGGTGTTCTCCCCATGTGCGGAGACCAGAGATTGTAAGAAATAAAGACACAAGATAAAGAGATAAAGAGAGAGGCCGGGCGCGATGGCTCAAGCCTGTAATCCCAGCACTTTGGGAGGCCGAGACGGGCGGATCACAAGGTCAGGAGATCGAGACCATCCTGATTAACACGGTGAAACCCCGTCTCTACTAAAAAATACAAAAACCTAGCCGGGCGAGGTGGCGGGCGTCTGTAGTCCCAGCTACTCGGGAGGCTGAGGCAGGAGAATGGCGTGAACCCAGGAGGCGGAGCTTGCAGTGAGCTGAGATCCGGCCACTGCACTCCAGTCTGGGCGACAAAGCGAGACTCTGTCTCAAAAAAAAAAAAAAAAAAAAAGAGATAAAGAGAGAGCAGCTGGGCCGTGGGGACCACTACCACCAAGACGCGGAGACTGGTAGTGGCCCCGAATGGCTGGACGTGCTGATATTTATGGCATACAAGACAAGGGGGCAGGGTAAGGAGGGTGAGTTGTCCAGGTGATTGATAAGGTGAAGCAAATCACGTGATCATGGGACAGGGGGCCCTTCCCTTACAGGTAGCCGAAGCAGAGACAGCAGGCAGCATACGTCAATATTTTCTTCTATGCACTTATAAGAAAGATCAAAGACTTTAAGACTCTCACTATTTCTTCTACCGTTGTCTACTACGAACTTCAGAGAGGAACCAGGAATATGGGAGGAGCATGAAAGTGGACAAGGAGTGTGACCGTTGAAGCACAGCACCACAGGGAGGGTTTAGGCCTCCGGATGACTGCGGGCAGGCCTGGATAATATCCAGCCTTCCACAAGAAGCTGGAGGAGCATAGCGTTCCCTGACTCCTCCAAGGAAAGGAGACTCCCTTTCGGGGTCTGCTAAGTAACAGGGGCCTTCCCAGACACTGGCGCTACCGCTTCACCAAGGAGCCCTCAAATGGCCCTTATGCAGGTGTGACAGAAGGCTCACCTCTTGCCTTCTAGGTCACTTCTCACAATGTCCCTTCAGCATCTGACCCTATACCCACCCGTTATTCCTATGTTATATTAGTAACGCAACAAAGAGTAATATTAAAAGCTAATGATTAATAATGTTTATAATAATGATTGATAATGTCCACGATCACCTCTGTATCTAATTTGTATTATGACTACTCTTATTCTAACTATTTTCTTTATTATACTGAAACAGTTTGTGCCTTCAGTCTCTTGCCTGGGCACCTGGGCCATCCTCCGCCCCCAGATTCCCCCATGCTATTCTCGCGGTAGTGAACAAGTCTCACGAGAGCTGACATCTCTCTAAGGGGTTTCCCCTTTTGCGTGGCTCTCTCGTTTCTCTCTCGTCTGCCACCATGTAAGATGTGCCTTTCACCTTCCGCCATGATTGTGAGGCCTCCCCAGCCATGTGGAACTGTGAGTCCATTATACCTCTTTTTTTAAAAAAATAAATTATCCAGTCTCAGGTATGCCTTTATCAGCGGTGTGAACACGGACTAATGCAAACCTCTTTGCTCCCCTCCCCTCACTACACAGCCCCAGGTTGCTGTGTGGAAGCCACATGGGGAGTAGCAAGGTGGGGGAGGAGTGTCTCTCTGTTTTCTTGCCACAGAGAGTCATTCTTTTTAAAGCTTGGGAGTTCTTGGTGACCATCTGTCTCGCCATGTGGAGGAAGCCAGTCTTTATGGAGAAACACAAAGATGATTCAGGGAGCATCCGGGAAGCGGGAG